GGATGGCGAGGTCTAATTTAAGTCCGCGGTGAGTACCAACTGCGCTGTGCCCCTCAGCAGCCCTCGAAATTGGCGACAGTTTCACAGATCGCAGCCCCCCAGGGATGGCAAGGTCTAATCTGAATCCGCGGGGTGTACCCAGTGTGCTGGGCCCCCCAGCAGGCCTCGAAAGCGGCGACAGCTTCGCAGATCGCAGCCCCCCAGGGATGGCGAGGTCAAATTTGAACCCGCCGTGTGTACCCACTGTGCTGGGACCCGGCGCTGCTCAAGTTCCCACGGGCGACAAGAGTCGGCCAATTCGGCTTCACCACGCGCAGCTTGATTTGCATCAGCGATCTTGGGCTTCAGGCCCTGGCGGATTTGTTCATGCGCTGTAAAGCTCTACTCATTTGGCCCTCGCAACGTCTGCTCGCGCAGCTCGTCCGCCTCCCGAAACCAACAGGGGGTGCAGGTTGATTGCGTTGGTGCGGACGCTTGTCCGAGTTTGGGGTAGAAGCCGTCGCCCTCTTGCAGCGCCCTGGGAAGCCAGCAACCCCCCTTGAAAGCATATGGGGATCAGGAGCGGGCCGCCCCTCCTCGGAGAGCGCCTTCTCGTTGAACCTGGGTGCCGAGGTTGCCCACGAATTGGGCGATGGCAGCCCCGCCGTTGTTGCAGACATGCTCAAATGCTCCGAAATGGTTATATTAGCGCGGTTGTTAGACGAGGCACGCGCGTTAAAGTTCCCATTGCGCCTCGCCTGGACGGCGACGCAATCCTACCTCCAACCCCGCTCCCTTCGAGCCATCTCGAGCCTCTGCCTCTCTTACTCATCTAACCAAGGCATTATAGCTGGTTGCTCGCTAGCCACTTCTATGTTACAGGTGCTGCTACACCGCAGCTCAATACAAGCCCTGCAGTTCTGTCCAAGTGTGAAGCCTCGTGATTTGATTGATGGTGTCAACTTTCACTGGTCTGGACGCCGGCTTGGTCAGGGAGCTGTTGGCAGACACGGCTCTCAGGACCTGGCCTTGGTGGTGCGTAAGTTTAAAGATGACGTTAGGCCGTCGGGGCTCATCATACGGCCAAGCAAATCAGGTTGCGCGGCAAATTGCGCGCGCAATTGCAAGCGATCCACTCGACATGTTCGTGCCCTCGGAATTGCCAAGAGAGCCGCGATGCGCAATCTAGGCCATGAGATGCATGGTTCCAGGGTTAGGCGTGCGCAAGAAAAACCGCCTTCGTAATGTGCTTGCCAAGCGTAGAAAGGTCTGGGGCTTGAAGCACGCGGCTGGAGAGGCCGCTAAAACCCTTTGGAGAACAGGGCTCCTCCCAGCAGCTGGTCATGGGGCTGGTGTTTCTGGGATCTCGGACACGTCTCCTCTAAAGCTTCGAACGTTCGCTGGGGGTCTTGCTGGAGCCAAGCCTAAGTCGTGCCTAACTTTGTGTTTAGCCACACAGAAAGGACGATCGATCCGACACGATATTTGATTCCTTTGTTCCGCTCGTTGGGCGATATGCCACGGTGCTGTGGGAAGGCAGAGTCGATCATGCCCGCCTACACCGAGCATGGGCTCGGATCTGCGATAAGCTGGCCAATCGTGTCACGTGGGCTGGAGCTCGAGGCCCCGTCCACTCGGTCTGGCTTACCCTGTTGCGGGTCGGTTGGTCCATGGCGTCGCCCACTCGTTTGAAAAACCGACCAAGGGAACAGGATTGACCTTGTATGTTCCTGCCCCTGGGGTGTGCGTCGCCTCCTCGATGATGGTATACGTCGGTTTCAGTCGAGCCGCATCGTCATGCACCTTCCTGGTGGGGGTCAGGAGTCCTGCTGGCAAGTTCACGGATGCTAGCAGGGAAGGCGCATTGCGAGCACTGTGGGCTGCAGCTGTGTGGACGCCTGTTCGGTTGCACTCTACTGACCTTCGGCCCTCGCCCGATTGTTTCATGTGCAAAACTTGTCCTGGCACGGAGGCCCACCAGTGGTTTGGATGCCCCAAGGCCCTCAATGTTCCCGACGAAGAGCGGCCCCCAGACGAGGTCCTGGAGCATCGTGACGTCATGATTTCTAACCACGGTTCTGGACCCCAGGGACTTGATACGTCTAATCTTGGATGTGGGCTGCCGCCCGAGCCGCCACTGCCCGATGCCCCCTGCGCTGAGTATCCTCTCTTGGGGCGGGGGGGCTGGCGGGGAGTTTGGGGGCGGAGGGTGTGCGCGGACGGTTATGGCTTCGCATCGTCGACGCCAGGACTCACCCGCTGTGGCTGGTCAGTCATCGAGCTCGACGGGTCAAGCATAATTCTTCGAGCGGTTTACGGAGCGCTCCCAAAACCCATCCAGACGGTGCCGCGTGCAGAGTTTTACGCGGCGCGGATGGCTGCGCAGTTTGCAGGCAGTGATGTTGATACCAGCTCAGACCACTTGTCGATTGCCAAAGCTGGCCACGTTTTGGGGCCCCATAATGAAAATGCCAAGTCTCGTCACGCGTCCGTCTGGAGAGCTTTGCAGAGCGGGTGCCAGGATGATGCGCCGAGGATTTCTTGGATCCCAGCACACAGGTCTGCAGGAGATGTGCTGGCAGACCCATCGGCCTCGTATTCAAATTTCATTGGCAATGAATGAGCAGACCATGTTGCAAAAAAAGGTGCACGCACGCATATAGTGGTCCAGACTCTAGAAAAATATCATAAGATGCTTCTTGCTGAATTCGCCAAGGATGCTCGTATTTGTCTTGGATGACCAGGACGGTGGCCAGAAGGGTTGATGAGCTCCAGCCGCGGGTCGACGTGCCCGAGCCTCGCCAAGCTCCCCCCGCTGTCCTGGAGAATCATGATTTTAGGCTGTGCGACCGATTGTCGGAGTATCGTTGTCGATCGTGCGACCGCTGGGCCCGCACCCCACTTTCCCTCCGTGCTCTCCGACAGCAGCCCTGCCAGCCATCCGAGTTGTGCCGTGCTGCTGCCGCCAAGTTCTTCAGCCTCACGCCTTAAGGTCTACCGCCACCCAGCAGGCTCTGTCGCCGCGGCGCTTCGAGCAGCCCGTGACCTCGAGCCTGCTGCTGCAAGCCCCGAGGACGGGCCCGTGGGCGTGGATGGCGGGTGGGTCGTCGCCGTCGCCGTCGAGGAGGAGGACGGGGGGGACATGATCGAGCAGGCACTCACAGCGCTGGACCATCGTGTGGAACGGTTCGGCGCGCGAGTGACTTGCTTGTCATGCGGAGCGTACTCCATATCGCAAGGCCGCAATCGTAAGCTAGAAGCTCGATGTGTCGGTCCGTCTTCTGCCGCTTCGATTCGCTCGAACCAGGAGCAAGCCATCTCTCGTATGATGAGACGGCGCCACCCTCGCACAGGTAAGTGGTTACCTGAGTGACCTTGCCCTTCGCAGGCTCTGGAGCCTCCGCCCTGCTCGTGTGATGAGCTAGGTTGGGGGTGCAAGAGTGTGCATGAGCTGTGCCTGGCAGCCATCCTTTGCCGCTGCTCCACAGCTTTCTGTTTCCCCATTGCTGGGGCGCGCTCGATCTGATCGGCCGCGCCTTCCATCGCTCGGGACCTCCTCCTCCTCCTCCTCGTCCACCTGGAGGAAGGCACCCCCCCTCCTACGGCGCGGGCGCAGCTCGCCTCCTGCACGCCGCGAGCTGCCTCGTCGGCCCCGCCCGCGCCAGATGGTGCCTCCCTGTCGCGCATTGGCTCCCGCGGCGGTCGGCAACGCCGAGCGGCGTTCGCGCAGGCAGCGCCCGCCCACGCGCGCCACCCGTGCAGGACACTGCTACAGCCGTTCGCGGCGCTGGAGCACACGAGCAACCCAGACGCGCTCGCGTCATGAAAAAAGTAAACGGGAGGTCTTCGTAATTTCCGGCCTCTGGGGGTCCACCTCCCAGACATGCTCGCGTCGTGAAAAAATCAGGTCGAGAGGTTCTCGTCGTTTTCAGCCTCGGGGTAATCCCAGGACCTTCCAAAAAAGACCCGGGATGCCAAAGCGGCCCCGGCGGAAGGGTCGGGACTTCCAGGGGCCCCGTGCCGAGCATCGCACGTCTGGGGAGCCGCCCTGCTGGTCTTGGTGCCGCCCTGGCCGCGAAGCTCCGGCGTCACGGAGTTGAGGAGGGCGCTGTCCTCGCGATCCTGGGGACGCTCAGTCTTCAGGCGACTGCTGGAGGCCGGGCTGCTCGCGGCGCGAATCTTCCCAGCCGCTGCATGGGCAAGGGCAAACCCAACAGCGAGGAGGGGACCTCGAGGTGCGACATCCCAGCGCCATGCCCGCGGTCGGGGGCCCGACGTTGCGGCTGTTGTTGCTGATCTTCCGTCCAACGGCAAGGGCAAGAACAATGGCAAGGAGAAGGACGCCCAAGATATTGCTGGTGTTGTTCCAGATCTTCGGGCTACTGGAGGTATTCTCGAGACGCCTGCACATGATGGACTTCGTGATTTGTGATCGTCAGGCCGATCCCTTTGCACCTTGAGCTGTCGGCATCGACCGTTGGAGCAAAGGCAGGAGTATGGACAATGGCTCCACAACTGCATGTCGAGCCCGTGAAGGTTTGGCCGATCCGCAGGGCCTCTGTACCGCTGAGTTTTGAATGTCGGCCCTTCGTGCATACAGACCTGGCTCTATGGAGGTGTACGCCAATCCTTAAACCCCAGTCCTCCTGCTCCGCCACCAACCGTCCTACTGCCCTGAGAAGCTTGCCCCTCTTCCTACCCCTCGCCCCGCCGCCCTCCCGTCCTCATCCTCGTCCTCCTCCTCCGGTTCCTTCTCCTCCCCAGACCCCTGACGCCATGATTTCACAGTGGACCCCTGGAGGTCTGGACCCTTCCTGGAGCCGCGCGCCACATGGCCCCTAAGCCCGGGCCAGCCAAAAGAGATCGGATGGGACAGACTGACCCCCGTCTGGGCTGACCCTACTGCAGGTTGGTGCCGTCTCGACCCGTCGTTGGTTCGTGACACCACGGGGATCCCGATTCCTTGAGCGATCGGCTGTTTCCGGAACGTCAGATCGTCCAACATCGACCGATTCTGGGTCGCCAGCGGCGTCCAACGTTGAATGCTGGCAGCGGACGCGCCGCGGGTCGACATACGTAAGCCCCGACGCCTCCAGCTTTGGGGCAGCACGTCAGGCAGAGCGAGCTTTCTGGCCGCCATCGTCTGTGGCCCCCCGGGCGCGCGTCAGCACGCAGCACTGTGGGGCCTGGAGGAGAAAATCAGGAGTGCGCGCAAGCCTTGCCTGGTGGGCGGCGCAGCTGAGCGGGCACGCAACGGTGGCGCCTGGGAGAAGCGAGGCGAGGGGATAGGCAACCAGGTGTAGAGGCGGAGGAGGGGCCGAGACCCCGGAAGAGGGAGGAGGCGGCGCGTTCGGTGCTGTCAGCTGCGCAGGCGCCGGGGCCACGCCAATCGCGATACGGAGGCAGGCGCAGAAAGAAACAGAGCGGCGGCCCGGGTTCTGCACAGTCAAACAGTGCAGGCGTGCAGGCGGCCCGCCTCCTCCTCCACCCTCCTCCGCCTCCTGTGTGCGCTGTTGCCAGCCCCCCGACCTCCAGCTGAGGAGTCAGATCGTGCAAGGCCCTTTTTTCCTCACGAGCGAGCTGTTCTGCCATCCCGGAGGTACGACTCTCCATGGGCGAGGGACAGACAGACATGCTCAGTTACGTAAGCCCCGACGCCTCCAGCTTTGGGGCAGCACGTCAGGCAGAGCGAGCTTTCTGGCCGCCATCGTCAGTGGCCCCCCGGGCGCGCGTCAGCACGCAGCACTGTGGGGCCTGGAGGAGAAAATCAGGAGTGCGCGCAAGCCTTGCCTGATGATACAGGCTCCGCGTCGTGCTAAACACGTTGCGCCGACTCGTGCTCATCGATCTCCGCGTCCTGCTCCGACTAGTTGACCTCAACCTCCGCGTTGTGAATGCCGCGCTGGGGTGTTGGGCCCCTGCCACGGCAAAGACACTCGAGCCCCACCAGGCAGCCCAGCGCGACGCCGCAGACCAAGAACAAGATCAACAAGAAGAAGATCAAGACACCAGCGAAGACCGCAATTAATCCCCATGGCTCGGTGGTGGCTGTGGTGTTTGACGTGTCCGAACTCGTGCCCGTATCGGTGGTCGTCGTGGCCGTCTTGGTGGTGATGGTAGTAGTGCTTGACGTCGCGGAACTCGTGCCCGTATCGGTGGTCGTCGCGGCCGTCTTGGTGGTGATGGTAGTAGTGCTTGACGTCGCGGAACTCGTGCCCGTATCGGTGGTCGTCGTGGCCGTCTTGGTGGTGACGGTAGTAGTGCTTGACGTCGCGGAACTCGTGCCCGTATCGGTGGTCGTCGCGGCCGTCTTGGTGGTCGTCGCGGTGGTCGTCTCAGTTGTTGCCTCGGTGAAGTCGAACACGTACGCGGAGCCTGAATTGTAGCCCTGGTCGTCGTCATAAAAGGCCCCCACCACCACGCGGGCCCCGTCGGAGCTCACGGCCACCTTCATACCGAAGAAGTCGAAAGCAGCCCCATCACTCGCCACAAGCTTCAGCAGCCTCTCGCCGGTGGCCCCGTCGAGCACGTACACGGAGCCAGAATTGGTGCCCTGGTCGTCGTCAAGGAAGGCCCCCACCACCACGCGGGCCCCGTCGGAGCTCACGGCTACCGAGGAACCGAACCGGTCGTCTGCAGCCCCATCACTCGCCACAAGCTTCAGCAGCCTCTCGCCGGTGGCCCCGTCGAGCACGTACACGGAGCCGGAAGTGTCGCCCTGGTCGTCGTCACCATAGGCCCCCACCACCACGCGGGCCCCGTCGGAGCTCACGGCAACCGACGCACCGAACCGGTCGAAAGCAGCCCCATCACTCGCCACAAGCTTCAGCAGCCTCTCGCCGGTGGCCCCGTCGAGCACGTGCACGGAGCCGGAACCGGCGCCCTGGTCGTCGTCATTGTCGTTTCCCACCACCACGCGGGCCCCGTCGGAGCTCACGGCAACCGACACACCGAACCCGTCGTCTGCAGCCCCATCACTCGCCACAAGCTTCAGCAGCCTCACGCCGGTGGCCCCGTCGAGCACGTACACGGAGCCGGAAGTGTCGCCCACCACCACGCGGGCCCCGTCGGAGCTCACGGCAACCGACGCACCGAACCGGTCGAAAGCAGCCCCATCACTCGCCACAAGCTTCAGCAGCCTCTCGCCGGTGGCCCCGTCGAGCACGTAGACGGAGCCGGAACCGGTGCCCTGGTCGTCGTCATCGTCGTTTCCCACCACCACGCGGCCCCCTGTCGGAGCTCACGGCTACCGAGGAACCGAACCGGTCGTTTGCAGCCCCATCACTCGCCACAAGCTTCAGCAGCGTCTCGCCGGTGGCCCCGTCGAGCACGTACACGGAGCCATGAGTGATGGGAACGTCATCGTAGTACAAGTAAACGGCCCCCACCACCACGCGGGCCCCGTCGGAGCTCACGGCAACCGACCCACCGAACTGGTCGTTGTCGACCCCATCACCCGCCATGAGCTTGAGCAACTGCGCGCCGCTGGTAGACAAGCGCCTCCCGAACTCGGCCTGCGGCTCGCGAGGGCGACCGCTCGCCGAGCCCTCCCCCCTCGGGCGGGCCAGCGTCCCGCTCGCCGGCGACCCGGCGCTCGGGGCGCCGAGCTCTGCCAGCAGCAAGAGCAGCGCGCCGACGCTGTGAGACGTGCGCAGGCGCATCATGCCGTCTGCAGATGTGCAGAGCTGAGCGGAACGAGAGACGCCAGAGGGGAGCCCTGGGAGGCCGGCGACGGCCCCTCGAAACCTTAAGCCAAAATTGCGACCAGCCCCGATGGCTTGCCCAAGACATTCCTTGTTCGGATTCACCGTCATCATATGGTTACAGCATCATCATTGCTCTTCTCTTTTACACTGGAATTCCTTGGTGATGCTTTCCGAAGGATTCCTTGTGTGAGGCTTTTAAATCTAATCCCTTCGTGGTGCTCTCCAAAAGGTTTTTTTTTGCGAGGCTTTCCAATCTAATATTTTCGCGGTGCTTTCCAAAGGGTTCCTGCTGTGAGGCTTTCCAATAGAATCCCTTTGTTGCGCTTTCCAAAGGATTCCTTTTTTGCGAGGTTGTCCAATAGGATCCTTTTGTAGTGCTTTCCAAAGGATTCCCTTTATGAGGCTTTCCAGTAGAATCACTTTGTGATGCAGAGGAGGCAGAGGAGGAGGAGGCGGAGGAGGAAGGGGAGGAGGTGAAGAGAGATCTATATATAGATATACACATATACATATATTTATATATAGAGAGAGAGAGAGAGAGAGAGAGAAAAAAAAAGAGAGAGAGAGAGCGAGAGAGAGAGAGAAAGAGAGAACGAACAAGAGTGGAGGAGGATGAAGACGAGGAGGAGATATGTATGATCATGTGGGTGGGGGGTAGATCGCCCCCCCCCCCACATGATCATACGTATCTCCTCTTCCTCCTCCTCATCCTCCTCCGCTCTTCTTCGTTCTCTCTCTCTCTCTCTCTCGTTTTCTCTCTCTCTCTCTCTCCCTCTCTTTCTCTCTCTCTCTCTCTCTCTCTCTCTTCTCTTTGTCCTCCTCCTCAAAGAATCCTTTGGAAAGCACCACAAGGGGATTCGATTGGAACGCCCCATAAAAAAGGGAATCCTTTGGAAAACGCTACAAGGGGATTCTATTGGAAAGCCTCAAAGTAGGAATCCTTTGGAAAGCGCCACAAGGGGATTCTATTGGAAAGCCTCACAAAAGGAATCCCGTGGAAAGCACACAAAGGGATTCGATTGGAAAGCCTCACAAAAAAAGGAATTCTTTGGAAAGCACAGCAAAGAGACTCGATTGGAAAACTTCACAAAAAGAATCCTTTGAAAAGCACAGCAAAGGGATTATATTGGAAAGCCTCGCAAAAAGGGAATCCTTTAGAAAGCACCACAAAAGGATTCGATTGGAAAGCCTGACGAAGGGATTCGATTGGAAAGCCTCACATAAGGAATCCTTTGGAAAGCACCGCAGAGGGATCCGATTGGAAAGCCTCGCAAAAGGAATCCGTTGGAAAACACCACAAAGGGATTATATGGGAAAGCCCAGCAACAAAAGGAATCCTTTGGAAAGCACAACAAAGGGATCCGATTGGAAAGCCTCGCATAAGGAATCCTTTGGAAAGCGCCACAAAGGGATTCGATTGGAAAGCCCCACAAACAAATACCCTGTGACGTACCCAATCCATTTGCATCATGGGAAACGAGGAATTGGCCGAAACTTGCATGGACAATTAAATTGCAGGATCCGTTGTTTGATGTGTAAACTACTTGGGGCACGCGCCTATGGCATGATGCGCAAGAGAACCATGCAAGAACGAGGGGCGACACCTACAGGCTCGAAGAGGACATGGGGAATCGGGAACGAAAAGCTGGAGAAAGACGTGCGGGCAGCCCACTGTGCTGGGCCCCCCAGCCGCCCGCTGCTCACGTTGCCCGTCGGTCACGAGGAGCAAATCGAAGGCCAACCTGCGCGAGGCCAAACTCCGGTTGGACATCGTCGAGACAATCGCGCCAGACTCCTTGAGAAATAGGCAGACATTGCTCGCCGCGGCGCCCTGCACCCTGCAGCTGGCGGAGATCTCCGCAAGTTCCCCGCGCGCAATCTCGGACATACCAATCAAGAACGCCCACGGGCCACTACAGCCTTGGAAAAGAAAGTATGAGGGGCACTGGGGCGGAGAAGATCTAACCCATGAGCAACGCGCGTGCGCGGCGCGTGGCGGGCCCTCACCACGCTAGCAGCACGCAAAATCGCGGTTGGTTTTGGGGTGCTGGCCGACGCCCATGTGAAGAAGGTTGCGCCTGCCATAGTGATCACTGCGGATCCCTGAACAGGGCGCGCAGAGCTTCCTGGAACATACACGCTCAGAGAAGCCGCCGCACACGGCGCAGATGTCAACGCTGCGATAGCGGGCCATCACGTGGCTGCTGTGGCACCCGAGCGCGCCAGCCGCGAGGGGCAAGATCCGGCGGAAGTGCGGTGCGATCCACGGCGCAGTGGCTGGCCAGCCGAAGTCGTTGGCCTCAGACCCCTCGGGCACCTCCAAGGCTTGCCCCGCTGGTGCCGGTGGAGGCAGCCCAGGCTGCCCAGGCTGCACAGCGACAGGAGGAGGCTGCCCAGCGGCAGCGACAGGAAGTGCTGGGGGTGGGAGTGGGAGTGCGGCCCCTGCGCCACCCGGAGCTGCAGCGGCGCCCACAGGGCCTGCGGCCGCAGCGCCACCACCACCAGCAGCTGGCACATGAACCGCATGCTGGAACACGGCGGCGGCCCCCGGGGCGCGCTGGTCGTCGCCGCCGCCGCCCACCACGACTCCATCTCCATTGATGGTCACACCGCCCACCACGACTCCATCTCCATTGATGGTCACACGAAGCTGGAGCTGGATGTGAATCGTCGTCGACGGCCCAGATGCTGCCATCGCGGCCATCGCGGCGAGCGTCGACGCCGCGTCGACGCCTGAGTCCGAGGCGGGGGGGGGTCGCCTGCTCAGGCTGAGGAGGAGTACAGCCGAAACACTGGACCTTCGCACTGCAGACGGCTGAGGCTGAGGCAGCGACGCCGACGGACGGTGACGACGACGACGGGTCACGGGCCACCGGCCACGGGGGAGACCGTCGGACCGTCGGGGGGCGCCGCGCGATGACTCATCTGCGAGGGCCCTCCGTCGGGAGGCCCCTCGACCACTCGGCCCTCCCGACGGGAGTCGACAGCCAGGGCCCGAGAATCCGAAGTATGAAGTGCGAGAGGGTCCCAGCAGGGAGCATGAGGATTAGGATGAGGATCAGGATGATCAGGATGAGGATGCTGAGGATTTTGAGGAGGAGTCCGATCCTGGGGAGTCCTCGGACCTCGGACCTCGGATGAGGGGAGCGGTGGGGCAGGAGCGGGGGGCACGGGGAATGAGGAGGCGAGGGCGACAAGGGAGCGGGCGGCGGAGGGGCAGGAAGAGGAGAGGAGCAGAGAGAATGGAGAGGAGGGGCCTTGCAATTTGGCAATTGGGTCCTTCCGGGCTTCGCACGGCGCCCCCCCTTCCTCACCCCCCCCCCGCTGGGCCCCCCACTGCTCCTCTACTCCTGATCCACCCCCGCCCCGCTGAGGCCGCCTCAGGCCCGAGGACTCCTCGTCCGCCGGACTCATCCGCAATCCCCATCCGCATCACCCCTGGTCCACTGGTCGGCCCCTCGCGGATGCGAGGCGGGATGGGGCCGGGATGGAGGGGCGCTGTGCGTTTCCGAAGCGGCGCCAGGAAGCGGACCAGAGCCGCGCCGTCTCATCCGCGGACGCCGTCGATGCTGTCAGCACCGCCTCCACGGCCGCAACGGCCGCCCGAGCGCCCGAGCGCCGACTCCCCCCAGAGCGGCGGCGCTCGAGTCGTCGGTCGCCCGAATTACGAAAAACCGAGTGGCGGCGAACAGCCCTCCGCCGCCACCGCGTCACCCTAATATGCGCTTGCGCGGCTCCCCTGCCGTCAAGCGCACCAAGTCCGCGATCCGCACAATATGCGAGGAAACCAAGCCGCGGCGACGGCGGCTGGATGGCGGCTCCTTCCCAAAATATGAAACATGAACCAATGATAAAAAGGAGAAAAAACTCACACCATAAAGCGAAGTCGAAGGTTGAAGGCTGCCATCGACGAGACCTGGGTGAGGCTGCCATCGACTCGGTGGGCATCGCCCCCTGTTGCTGTCTCACAGTTAGTACCCGCTTCGGGAGCATTCGCGGGCTAACTTGAAAACAAAACATGTCATCGTCTTCGGCACCAGCATCACCACCACCACCAAACACCATCATCGCCATAAGTGAGCATCCCTGGGCGCCTCCTCTCCCCCCCCCTTCCCCCTCCCTTCCGCCTCCCTTCCTCCGCCCTTCCTCCTCCCTTCCTCCTCCCTTCCTCCTCTGTCCTTCCTCCTCCTCGTCATCCCTCCTCCTCCTCGCCCTGTTGCTCATGCTCTTCTCCTCGCCCTCGACCTCGCCCTCGCCCCCCTCCTTCTCCTCCGTCTGCCCCTCCCCCCCTCCTCGTCCTCATCATCTCTGACTGAGGGAATTTCGGCCCCCCCACCCCCCTCCTTTTAAGCGCACATAAGGAAACATGTCCGAACACGGCGGCACTCTCGTACGCACCGCTGCCGCTGCCCTGTCCTCGACCTCGAGAACGAAGGCTTCCCCCATTGAAAGGCGGGGGCGCAGGGGTGGGGCCCTGTCTTCGACCACGGTGAAACATGGGGGTGGGGCCCTGTCTTCGACCGCGGTGAAACATGAATAGGGCGCGGCCCTCCCCGCCCTCGCGGGGCGGCCTTGCCCCCTGGAGCGTGGTCGGGGATCAGGGGCGGAGGGGATTCTGGGACTTCTGAATTAGGACTAGAAGGTGGGGAGGCGGAGGAAGAGACGGAGGAGGAGGAGGAAGGCTTCACCGCCCTCCACGCACCGCCGACTTGCATCATGCATCCGTCCCGTGCTGGCGAGCTCTTCGCTGAGAAAGTACCCGCTCCTGGCAATGTGAAGACACGCTTCTCGCTGTGCTCCGTAATGAGTGCTATGGCCAGCGGTTGAAGCATGGCCGCCGTGGTAACCAAGTTGGCGCCGCTCCCAACCGATATCCTCTTCGTCAACGCCTGAGGGGAGATCGATGCATGGCCGTGAGCGCGGTATACCGCGATTTCGCTCTTGCCACGGAGGTTCAAGACCTTCGGGGCCATCGTAAAGAAAGGCGGCAGGCCCTCGACAGAGCAAACTCGCCAACAACTTCTCGAGCCAAGCGAGACTACGTACAATCGTACAATCAGATGGTGCGGGCCAGGAAACTGGAAGACTCCAGAGCGGTTGTG